GCTAAGGAGACTAGGCTTCGTCGTCGATGGTCGACGAGCTCGGTCGCATGCCGGGGACGTACTGCGGGTGGAAGCGCTCGATGCAGTTGGCGTAGACGAACGCGCCAGCGAGGCCGCCAAAGACGGGCGCAAACATCGGGACCCAAAAGTACCCGTTGCCGTAGACAAAGACGTCGCCGCCCCAGCCCGCCATGAGCGTGAAGAAGCGCGGGCCAAAGTCTCTTGCGGGGTTGAGCGCAAAACCCGTGTTGTAGCCGAACGACATGGCGATGCCCGTCAAGAGCAGGCCAATGATCGCGGGGCGGCTCCCGACGTCGGCAGGGTTGTTGCGCTTGTCGGTGATGGCAAAGATGCCGAGAAGGAGGAGAAACGAGCCAACGATCTCGTCGATGAAGCCTTCCGTGAGTGTCATGTGCGCTTTCGGGTACGTCGCAAAGATACCGGCCGTTGTCTGGTCCCAAATGTCGAGGTAGAGGAGCGCGGGGCGGTACGCGAGGTAGACGAACATGGCGCCGATGAACGCGCCCAGGGTTTGGCCACCAATGTAATAAGGCACGTACGCCCAGTCGAGGCGCTTGAAGACGGCCATCGTGATGGACACGGCGGGGTTGAGGTGGCCGCCCGAGACGCCGCCCGAAACGTAGATGCCGAGCATGAGCGCGATGCCAAAGCCGATCGAGATGGACATCCAGTCGCCAGCGAAGGCTGTTGCATCGAGCGGGTTGCTCGTGAGCTGGGCGTTGCGGATCTCCATCTGCTGCGAGATGACGGTCTGCGCGACGACGCCGTCGCCGATGAGGACGAGGATCATGGTCCCGAGGCCTTCCGCAAAGGCCTTCCGCAGCTTGTCCTGCATGAGGTTGCGCGTCTCGGGGATGCTGTCGATGACCGCGTCGTCTCGGCCGTCGTCTGTGGGCTTGAACATGCTGCTAGGTGGAAGAAGGTGGACAATCGCGCACTGACGCTGCCACGCGCAGCCAATCGCAGCTAAAAATAGATGTTCGCGCGCTGTGATTGGCGGATATTTTTAACCCAACGGCAAGAAGTCGCGGGCCCTCCAAGATGGACGCCAAAGATACGCGCCTGGCATGGCGGTGGCAGGACGATGGAAGAGTGCTACATGCATGCATCTACAGGCCATCCCTGCACAGATGCGTATCATCATGGCTGAGCGCGTATGGGCTACATTGGGCGAAGCGCATGGCCGTGCAGGCAGGCAGCGATATGGGCTGCCATAACGTGGCGTAGGAAGCGCCTGCTTATGCTAGCCCATGGTCGTCGCCCCGTTAGCACTAGCAGCTTACGTTCGAAGCCACGGGGCGTCGTTTATACATTACAGGGTCAAGTAGGAGGATAGTAAGAGGGTTCTATGGCTAGCTACGGGTCCCGGGCAGCGGTCGCGCCATCGAATCGGCGACGACGAGGTCGGCGAGCGCCCTTGCAAACACAATCTGGTCGACGTTCGTACACGCTTTCCGTAGCAAGAACGGGACGAAGGCGTCTTTGACTTCGCGCTCGAGCGGGTCCTGGAAGTGGCCGGTCGTCACGAGGTTCGTAAAGACACTCGTGTGCAGATCCGAGAGGTAGTGCTTTGCAAACGACCGCGCCGCGAGCTTCTCTTGGAGCTCGGCCTGCGCGACGAGCCGCGCCTTCTCCTCTTCGAGGCGCCGCTGCTTCTCGTCGTACTTGCGCTTCGCTTCGGCTTCGAGCCGCTGGACTTCGGCGAGCTCGGCGTTGCGCTGCTGCTCGAAAATATCTTGGCGCAGCCGAATCTCCTTGATCTCTTCTTCTTCGAGGACCTCCATGACCGAGACTTCAAGCGCTTTGCCCACGAGCACCTCGAGGATCGGCGCCACCTCCAAGTCAAAGTCAAAGAGATCGCCGGCCTCGATCTGTGTCGCCACGTCATTGCCGCTCTTTTGCGGAATGAACGTCGGCACGGGCAGTTGGTCCAAGAAGGCTTCGGTCTGCGTCTCGACGTCCATCTCGGGCACCTTGTCCGTGAGCTCCTCGAGGTAATTCTCGGTCTGAATATCCATGTGCTGCCGGCCATCCATGGGGGGCGGAGTCGCGGGGCGGTCGTTGCTCTGCGGTGTGAGCTCCGACGGCGACGGCTTCTTCTTGAACTTGGGCTTGGCGTCCGTCGACTTGCACACATGAGATTCGCGATCGACTAAGACACGAAGTACCTCGGGCGCGGGCTTGGCGCTCGCAAACGTGCTGCCGCGCACGATGCGCCGGTCGTACATGAGGTTCTGCGACTTGTCGACGCTACAGAGTCGAGGCTGTTAGCTTCGAGAAGATGACGTGCTGGCGTACGAGCTCGACGGATCGCGGTACTTTGACCGCTTCACGGCGACCGAGCGCGGCGCGGCCGAGTACTCGAAGCCGCCCGAGCCTTGCATCGGTCGTCTCTTCAAAATGGAGAAACTTCCGACGTTATCAACAACAACGGTCTGCTAAATTTACTTTCGACAGCCAAAGCCGTCCCGCGAACCTACTACAAGCGAGCAGCCATGCCACCGCCAGCTCAATGCACCGGTTCGAGGACGCTGGGAAGCTGCCGTCGTCTGGCCGGCCCCACCGGTATGTATGCTTTCGCCGCTAATGGCCCATGAGCACCATCCGTCAGTGAGACGAGATGCGCTGCATGAGTCGTGGCTGGCAGCGACGACGCCCTGCGATGCCATGGTATGGCCGCGCCTGTCTTGGCCATGCTCGGCCATGACCATGTTGGTGATGGGTTGGGACTTTTTGAATTTAATTTCTAAAAATATCAAAAACAAGAAAATAAAAAAGGACAAACGGGATTTCCGACTTCCATCAGTTGGCGGGCCGATGAGCACGCACGAGGCAGGGACGACCGAGCCGTCGATCGAGGACGAGCTACTGCTGCTCAGCGACGAGCGCCAGCGCGACTTTGGCACGCTCACGGAGCTTGTCAAGACGAGCTGCTCGGCGATGTTTAGCCAGCGCCTGCTTTTCATGACCTTCAAGGACGCCAACTACTCGGTGGCGGACGCCTTCCAGCGCGTCTCCAAGCGCGACGAGGCGAAGAAACGCGGGCGCAATGGCGACGACCGGGGTGCGCCCAAGCGTCAGAAGAACTCGCGTATGTCGCTGCCCGCGTACGTAGAGACGCACAACTGGTCGCCGTCGATTGCCGAGGAGACCGAGTACCCAAACGCGTACTATGGCGTCGCGAGCTCGGCGCCGCCTCGTTTGGACAGCGACCGGCTCAGTTACTTGATCAAGAACGAGGTCGGTGTTCCGTTGAGTCAGTCAAAGGCGTCGCAGCGTGACGACGACGACGACGACGAGACGTACATGCAGGATGTGCCAGAGCGCAGTGAGGTCGACTGCTTCAACCATCTCTCGAGCTACTGTTTGAAGCTGCGCGAGCCCAAGCCGGAGGCCGCCGCGGGAACCCCGACGATCGAGCACACCCGCAGCCTCCAGCAAATGTTTGAGACGCTCGTTGCAGTGACGACCGACGAAACGCTGGCCCTCACCGAGGCCGCTTGCGCCACCTACAACACTGCCGAAGCCACCAACACGAGCGACTTTGATCGGACCGACGAGCTCGTGCTGCTTCAAGACATAATCATGGCGCTGCCCCACGCCCACGACCTCGACCGCCCGGTAGCGCACCACTGTGCGCCGTCGTCTGACGTCTTGTGTATGTAGCACAAGGTCGTGCGGCCGACCGACGACACCATCGCGGACCTCGAGAATGCGGCACAGGTGACGCTCTCGGCCCATCCGTCTGCGTGCGAGGCAAACGTGGCCGTGCTCCACGCCGTCTGCCTCGCCTACGCCACGCGCATGCAGGCGTATGAAGCCGCCAAGGAGGACCTCATGCGCCTGCACGCCGCCGTCCACAAGGACTTTACACACCTCGGCGAGCGCGTCGCAGCCAAGATGACAAAGAGCTCTCATGGCGTGGCCAGCGCCGACGAGATGCTCGGGGAGAAGCAAGCCGCTGAAGAGAGCGCGGCGGCGGCTGTCCAGGCGCTCGTCGAAGTGGCTCGTTTGAAAGCCGAAGAGTCGGGCGCCACAGCGAGCGCTGCTGTGATCAGAGCGCAACGCTCCGTCTTTGCCGACGAGGCCAATACCGAGGCGGTTGCTGCGCTCGCGGCGCAGGCCAGTGCCGAGCTCGACACGGGCGCGGCCTCGAAGCTCTGGCGCGCAGCCCGCGATTTTCACGCGTTTTTCGAAGCGGCAAAGGCCCTTTTGGACCACGTGGAGAGTGCGCGGCTGAAGACGATGGACGCGGCCGTCACGGCGGTACCTGGCACATCCCTCGACGGCATCTCTGATGGCGAGTCCTTGTAGCTGGCGACCGAAGCTCAGAGTGCGTCGCGCATTGGTCTTGAAAAATTGACGAGCACGCTGCCCGTGCTCTGCAAGGAGCTCACGCATCTGGAGACGACGCTCGACCAGCGCGCCAAGCACGCGACCCAAGAGCTGCACTGCCAAAAGGTCAAGCTCGAGACGCACACCCGGCACCTCGGCACGATGGTCAAGTCGCGCCGACAGGAGGTCGTCGCCATGATTGCTGAGTTTCAAGACGTGATTGTGCTCTGCGGCAAGGGCCTCGAGACGGCCGCGACCCAACAACGCGCACTCTGGGCGATGCTGAAGGACTTGATGCCGAAGGCGGCGTTGGAGGCGCTCGTCCGCGCGTGCCGGCCGCAGCTCACGCCGCTCAAGAGCCCGCTGCGCCACGTCTTTGCCGACTTTGCGCACATTGCGGCATCACCTGCTGCCGCTCGCCACAATGCGCCACCGCCGTTCCAGGCGCCAGCCCTCCCAGCACCGCCGACACCCGTGGCCGCTCGCCAGGACGCGCCGACGTCACCGTGCGCACAGGAGCTCATCGTGCCCCCGCCCAAATTCAAGGTACGCGCGTTTGATACGAGGCGAAACATGGTACTGAGGGGGCCTAGGTGGGCGACCACGTCTTTGCCAAGTTTGCCAGCGGCAGCGGGGCCGTGTACGCACCGGCGCAGGTCATTGGTGTGCTCCCAAGCCGCGTCTACCTCCTCGTGTTTGCCGATGGCGACCAGTACAGTCTCGACGAGCTCTTTTTGTTTTCGCCAGCCGAGCACGAGCAGATCCAACTCGCCGCCAGCGCCGAAGCGCCGGCCCGCGGCGGCTGCGCACTTATGTAATTGTCAATGCAGCATGCATGCATGGCCGTAGGGCGTCGACGTGCCTCCATCACTGGGCGCACCGAGGTGGGACGCGGCGCCAAGGTTTCGTCTCTTGTAGGGGAAGAAACAGGGCGTGGATCGCGAGGGCTTCTTGGCGTCGGGTCGCAGGTGCTTCCGATCTCGTTAAGTTCTAGAAGGCAGGCAACGGCCGGATCTCGAAGCCACACTTGGCAACTAGCAGTACGCATGGCACGCCGTACCCCATCCAGCGACGCCGCTTCCAACGTCGTCGACCTGACGTCACCCGACTCGCTTCCGCAGGTGACGACCGCCATCGCCTCCTTCCTCCAAGGCCACGAAGCTGCGCTCGCGACCGAAGCGCTGGGCTTTGAGCTTGCGCCGTCCGTCAAGGACCTTCTCACGCAGCTGCTGCCGCGCTTTGCAGCCAACCTAGCGGCCAACCCCGCGTTGGACGTCAGCGCCGTCGTTGCGACCATTAGCGAGGGTCTTGCGCTCACGCCAGAGTTTGCTGCTGTCAAGCGCAATGACGAGGACGACGAGTACGAGTGCGTGGCTGTGGGCGACGCCATGTTTGAGCGCAAGCGCCCGCGTGGCAGCTTTGCGACCTTGGCGCACGACTGGGAGAAGGGATACAATGCGTGCAAGCACGCGGTCCACGACCTGCGCGACAACGACGCTGCGCGATCGGCCTTTGTCGCCGACGCGGCCATCGTCCGCCAACGTCTCGCAAGCGCCGTTGCGATACCCGACCGTGTGCTGTGCGCGCTTCGCGCAGAGGCTGCCGCGGCGCTACGCGTGGTTGTCGCAAGCAAGGTCAAGGAGGTCGAGCTCGCAGCGGCTCTCGAATCGCTCTGGCAAGCCAAGCGCGCTGAGCTTCATGCATCCCCCAAGGTCGAGGTCGACCTGGCCGTGTACCATAATGAGGAAAACGTGGCGGCCGTCGACGCGATGGCTGCGATAGCCACAGGCAGCGCTGCGACGGCAGCCGCCACGACGATCCTCGATGGCATCGAGGTCCAAGTCGCCTGCTACGAGGTGGTCGCCGCCGTGCTGCACGAAATCTGCTGCTTGCGCCACGCGTCGTTGACAGCAACGGCGGCAACGGTACACGTGCAGTTCGCATGTTTGCTCTTGCGAGTGTGCGTAGATGGAGGCGACGTACGCCGACGCGGTTGCCGCCACACGGGCGCAGCTCCAAGTGGATCTGCCGCGCCTCTGCGCCAGCCTTCTGCGCTTTGACGCGCACGTGGACGCCAAGATGCACGCGATCGACGGCTACAAAGCCGACAAGCTGCGCAAACTGGACGAAATTTGCTTTGAATTCCCGCCGTTTAGCGACCCAGAGGCGTGCGCGAGACTGCGGAGCAAGATCAAGGCCAAGACGGCCATCGCCGAAGACCTCGCTGCGCACCTGGAAGCGGCCGCAACGACGCAGCAGTACCTCTGGGCCAATGTGAAGGACGTTCTTGGCGCCACCGAGTGCCGTCGCCTCCTCAACACCTGTCGCTCGCACTGGGAGGCCATGACGCCCGTGCTGCGCGATGTGTTTGAAAGCATCGAGTCGAAGGTCATCGTCGAGGTCCGCAGCGACGCGGTCAAGGCCGAAGCAAGCAAAATGGAGACGGTCGCGCCACTGGCCAAGCCATTTTGGAGTTGCTTTTGGTAGTCTCTCCCTTACATGTAGTCGCGTAAGCTCTCACGCAATGTCTTGTCTTCCTCCATTTATACTCGACTCTTCCTGGGCGGCAGGGAGGTCCCGAAGATGTCGCTTGCCGTAGCGAGAGGTCCATCTGTGCACAGGACCAAGAAGGTGCGACCGTGGACCGCCATGTGTTGCGTAGGGGGGTCGGTCGTACACGGGAGCTATAATGTATAAAGATAGGAGACGGGTTAGGGCTAAACGACGCCCTCGTCGATCGGGACCGAGTCTTGGTGGTCGAGCGTGAACGCTGCTGGTTTCTCGTCGTCGTCCGACGTGACCGAGTGGCTGTGGTTGGTTGGGCTCTCTTGGAGGTTTTGGATCGTATCGCCAACGCTCTCCGTGTCGCTAAACCCGTCGACTTCAATGAACGGCGGGAGACGCACATCGAGGAGCGTCTTGTGGTCGACAGCAATCTTGCGCAAGGCGCCCCGGAAGAGCTCGAGGAGCGCTTGTTGCTTTTGCGGGTTGCCCCCTCTCTACGCCGTCCATGAGTCGGGTCTTATTCGTTACGATGAGAGGCGAACCGCTTTGATTGAGAGGAGCGCGGCTTCGCTGCTCTCCATGGCGTACAGCAGCGCCTACGCTCATGAGAATAGGGCGAGCCAACGGAAGACGCAACTAACCTTGGTGAACTGCGGAAGGTCAATCATGTCTGGCAGCTGGTCCGAGTCGCTTTGGACGAACGCCCGCAAGTAGACGTGCGCCACGAGCACCTCGTTGGCGACCTCGGCGTAAAGGTACCGGAACGAGTCGGCCGCGACAAAGTTGTCGGGATCCCACACCGGCCACGTTGTCGCCGACTTGGCATTGAGCGCCATCTTGGCTTGCTCGCTCCGCAGCGCATCCCGGAGCTGGTCTTGCATCCTAGTGAGCCAGAGAACGCTCGAGATACGACTTCAACAAGCAATTGCGTACGCAAGTGTCCAGACCAACGTGGGCTGATAAATAGGCTCAGGGCATTGTAGACTGCAGAGAAAGTCGAGCGTCGACTTGCTCAAGAGCTAGAACCGCAACATCAGATCTTAGTCGACACCTGTCACGTAGTGGCACCTGCACGAGGCCAGGCGTGTAGAGCTGTGTCAAGGCTGCGAGAGCGGGCGTCGTGGTTTGTCCTGGTTCGGGCAGGCACGCCTGGAGCACCGACGCGGCGAGCTCCACCGTGTCGTGCGTGCGCGGCTCTGCCTGGTCCACAGTGATGCACACGTCGCTGATGGATATGAGGCCGCCCGCGTCGATGAAGACCTGCTGCAATGCCGGCCGCACGCACAGCTTTTGCAGAAAGCGAAGGCACACGTTGGCAATCTAGAGCAAATGTCATGCGTGAGCCGATGCGTCGCAAGTTTGCGCTACCTTTTCGCTGTTGGGCGCCAGAATGTGGCTCGTTGACGCGTGCGCAATGACGCTCGTGATCCAGCGCGGGTGGCTCTGCAACGCAGCGACGCCATCGGGCGACTGTGCCATGGCAGCAAGCATGTCCAGCAGCGCACACAATAGCGCCATGGCCGAGCCCTCGTCGCTGGGCTGCTCCTTTAGAAACTGGAGGAAGCGCGGGTGCAACGTCTTCTCGAGCGCGTCTCGAAGTAGCTGCATCATCTGCGGCGAGCACAAGGTGCCAAAGCACGCTCGGGCATTCACGTTGCCGAGCTCGGGGGCAACAAGGAGTCGGCAAATGCGCAGACCCACAGCCGTCCGCTCCTACACAAACGTTGCCGTGTCATACTCCGAGTCGATATTTGATGGTTACCTGGTCGACTTCGCCCAAGAGCGTCCGACGCAGAGGATGCAAAAGCGCATCAAACAGCGCATCGTCGAGCGAAATATCGTGCGGGGACGCTGGCAAAAGAAGTGCGAGGGCCTTTAGCGCGAGCACTTGGAGCGCCATCGGGTCCGGCCCGTCGTCGCCAGCAAGGTTGATGCCGTACAACGACCGCGTCCGCGACAGCACGACGTGCCGTGTGAGCGCCTGCAGCGTCTCTTCGTGCATCTCTCGGCTCCACTCGGCACGAAAGCTGCCGTGGCACTCGACAAACGACCGTAAAAAGAGGTGCCCCACGGGCACGTCAAAGTCAGCGGACACGGTCTGCTTGTCCTCGTCCACGTCGTCCGTCAGCGGCAACGACACATGGAGCGTATTCGCAAGGGACCCAAAGAGCTTGTGGCGGAGCGCTGCGCCCCAAATGACGTCGGCAGATTGGATCGTGTCGTGATTAAAGACGGCGGCCAGCACCATCGGCGTTGGCAGTAGCAAGTGCAAACCGCAGCCACGAAAGCCCACGCTCGACTCCAATAGCGACTGAACCTCGCTTGGCGCGTAGTGGGCCGCGAGGAAGCTCGCCGCCGCGATACACATGCCCTTGTTGTGGACGTTGGCACTTGCCAAGAACACCAGCGGGAGCAGCGACCGCATGAAGACGACCGAGTCGTCCGTCTCGAGGTGTGAGCAAATGTGCGAAAGCAGAGACATGAGCGTGTGCAGTGTCTTGTGGCTCAGGTAGCCACACGTGAGAAGCCGACCGAGCGACATGCGCGCGTGAAGAACGTGCGGCACGAACGCTTTGGCGCGCTGGAGGATCACGAGAATGATGTTGACGCCGGCGCGCACCATCGCATCGACGTCTGCCGCCATGTCATTGTCCTTGGTGCTAGCTTCTTCATGGGTCTCGCCGGCGTCAAACGTGAGACGCAAGTGAAAGCTCTCGTCATCGCCGCCTTCACTCAGTGTCGACGCCATGCTGAGGCGCGACGGGCGACAAGCGATTCGCGTCGGCGCCTGCTGCAGCACGGTCAGCACGACCGACAGGATCGACGCGTAAAAGGGCGAGAGGCTCTCGGTCGGGCGCGTCCGGGACGTACTGATGGCGACGTGGAAGAGCAAGAAGGCTTCGCACGCAAAGGTCGGGTCGACGTCGTCCACTGCAAGCTGCTGGAGGAGCCCCGCAACGGGCAGCTGGCCGTTGAACGTCATGGCGTACCGACGCATCATGAGGCGAAGACACTTGACACAGCAGTGCCGCCAGTGCGCGTTCTCTTCAACACTCAGCCGATCCGAGAGGTGCCACGCGAGGACCATCAAGTCGTCCACCTACAAAGTCGTCCATTGTCACTTCCCATAGACGAGCATGCACCTCGTAGGGATCCGCGAGGTCTGCAAGCTTGGGAATCAGATGCTCGATAAAGTATCCGTGCACAATGAGCTCGGACGCAAACGAGGCATACGTGATCTGGAACTGGTCATGGTCCCAGAGCACAGTGTGGGGACCGCTGCTCGTGCGCACGGTAGGCGCCGCGGCCCCTTTGGCTTCGAACGATGCGATTTCGTTGCGAAGGGCGCTCTGGAGTTCGCGAAGCATGGGTGCACGCCACACTAACGTCGGCCGCTCGTGCTCTTGTCGCGTTGCGAGAAGCACTTCGGTCCACTTTTCACCCTGCGCGCGCGCGTCCTGGAGCCATCGCTACAATCTTATACAGACGAGCTTGCTTTTCAACCGCGCGCACCTGAAACTCGAGCGGCGGACGCGGCCCAATCGACCCGGACGCCGAAAACTCGGGTCGGAACGGAAAACTCATGTACGGAAAGTCCACGGGGATCGACTTGCGCTGCGTGACCTTGGTCGCCTTCTTGAGCGTCGCGATCGAGTACTTGGAGACGAGGTCCGGTCGGTCCTCGATCGGCACAAAGAGCTCGACGGGCAGAATGCGGTACATGGCCGCCTTCGACCGCGCGTTTCCCGCGCAAAACATCTCGACGAGCGCGATCGACTTGTCTCGAATCGACACCTGGAGCTCGTCGGCCGATGGCACCTACGCCAAGGTAGAGGCCGAGAATACGACCGCTGGTGGACGTACGTCGTCGAGGGCCGTCGCGAGCATGTACAGGAGCGCGCCCGACTCGCGCGCCGAGTCCTGCATGAGCGTGACCTGGTCGAGGTCGGCGAGCAAGAACAGTTCAAAGAGCAAGTCGACGCTCAAGTGCCGGATCATCGGGTCTTCGTGGTGCGACAGCCGAAGCAGCGTCTCCCGCGCCTGCAAGAGCGACTCGGCGGCCTACGCACCATGAGGATGCGATGGGAGCAGATATATCTGTAGTACCCGCTCGAGCGTCACGGGATCCGTGGTTTGCTTGTTGGAGATGAGCGTCATATGGAAGAGCTGGAGCGCTTGCTGGAGGATGCTGCTCGAGCACGCTTCGTCCGACGCGACGCTGTGTTGCGCGATGAGGCTGCACAGAACCGGGTATCCGCGGTCGTCGGCAAACGTGCGTTTGTTCATCATCTCCATCTTGTCACCAATTTCCGTCGACTTGAGCCCCGTTGGCCGCAGCATCATGATGGTGACGACCTGGAGCACCGAGAGCGCGAGCACCGGCGTCCACATCTAGTCGCATGTTCAACCATGTGTGGTAGACAAAGCGCGGAGATACCATGCACGTGAGCAGCGGCTTGGTCGAGTACTTGGGCACGAGCTTGTGTAGGTCGCGCCACTGGAGGATGCGCTTGAGCGTGTCCAGGAGGACCAAGACGACGTCCGACTCGTCACCGCCACTGGCGCTTGTGTCGACATGCGCCTTGAGCAAGCGGTACACTGCGTCATAGAGCTTGCGGTCCTTGACGTCGTAGCCTTCGTCCATGTCCATGCTCTTCCGGTCGGCCTACATGTCATGTCATCGTGGCATCCTCCGTCCTCGTGGTGTGCATGGCGCGGACCTCGAGCGGGAAGACGTCGCAGAATGCATGCAGCGCTTGGAGCACGTCGTCCTTGGAGCGCTTCTTCCCGGCGTCGCCCATGGCGATGACGTCCTTGATCGCATTGCGCTGGTCCGCGGACCCGGCCGCGCCGAGGAAGGACCGGAACACTTGCATCAAGCAGTTTTGGAACAAGTGGGTTTTGGCAACAACCCAACAACCCCACGACATTTTTTACATATTCGTTCATGGGCATACAAATACAAAGATGCAATAAAGCAATTGTAATAAAACACTGCGATCCATCGAAATATTATATTGCCGAACAAAGAGGCAAATGTACCCAGGCCTCATGGACATGACGATGGCATGGAAGTGGAGGAAGATGACGATGGCATGGAAGTCGAGGAAGATGACGATGGCATGGCAAAACGACAACGATAACAAGGCGAAGGCTGTACATGTTAAAGCACGCGTCGGACCTCGAACGTCCGGCGCAGGTAGCTCATCTGCCAGAAGGCCAAGCACATGAGGATGATGGCCTCGATACACGACCACCACAGGACGCGGTTGTTGGTGCTGTCGACGACTAAAGGCGATGATGCATCATCAGGATATTCCTGCACGTAGGAAGATATGCACGTGTACCTTGCTGGTGAAGGAGGTTCTTGGCCTTGAGGTACGACTGCGTATCTTTGACCGTGTCGAGGTGCGTGTTGAGCTCGTACACCATGTCTTCGACGGCGCGGGCTTGCTCTACAAGAGCCCATCGTCATCATCATCATCTCGAGGCAGCGCGTTGCATCGCAGTCGCACCGATCTTGGTCGCGTCGGCGTTCGAGACGACGTCGTGGGCCGGATCGTCGGCGTGGAACGAGAAGCCGACGACGAGGGGCACTGAGCTCTTGTGGCCAAAGCAGGCCTGGAAGAGACCGTCTTCGGGCACGGGCGTGACGAAGCGGCCCTTGGGCCCAACCTCGTGGAAGAGGCGGATGCCCGACGGGCTCAGCAGCGTCGTCTCGAGCTCCTCGCCAATGCCAGCGATGACGTCGTAGTTGAGCGAGATGCCCTCCTTGAACTTCTGCGCCTCGAGGAGGAAGCACTCGGGGTCGCCGGACGGGATGCTCGTGCGCATGGCGGTCGCGGCAACGGTGATCGCGAGCAGGACGCCCACGGAGCGGGTCATCAGCGTCGTCATCATCTGGTCTGTGGCCGGAAACGCTGGCTCGACACTTGAAGTTTGTAGGGCCGGAATCCCTCCATATTAATTTACAAATTCCACGATGCAGGAAGCGCGCCGGCAACTCGACCTGCTCTTCGTCGTGCATGCGAGCATCTCGATCGTCATTGGCAGCGCATGCTTGCTGCTGCCGCACTCGCTCGCGATGGCTGCGCTCCAGACGCCGCAGTATGGCCACCTTGTGCACGAGATGGTGCGGCTCTACGGAGCATTGACGCTGGCCCAGGGCTGGCTCGTCTGGAAGACGCGCCTCGTCGGCGACGCGCTCATCCGCAAGACGTTCTGCCAAGCCTACTGCATGTGCTTCTCGCTCCAGTCGCTCGCCATGTTCCGCGCCCAAGTCGCGTCGCCCGAGAGCCACTCGCTCCTCAACTGGATCAACATTTTCGTCCTCGCCGGCCTCGGCGCTGCGTACGGGTACTTCCTCGCGTTCAAGACGGCGAAAGCATTCGAGCTCCCGAGCATGAAGGGTGCATATTAGGTGCGTAACACAATCGACGACGATAGTTGCATGCATGTGATGGACTCCTACGCCGTACTCTCGCTATGTGTACGCTCGCCGTCCGAGCCCGTCAAGTCCACGGGCTCCTCGCTTCGTGTCGCAGGAGCTGTCACGAGGACCGGCGTGATCTTGCGCTTCTTTCGCACTTGCACGTTGTGCGTCGCAGCAGGCACTGGCGCGCCGGGGTCGGCGGTCGATACCAAGTCCATGAGGGGCCCGAGCGCCGGCTGCTGGAACCCCGAGTCGGGCGCAACCACCTTGGTAAACTGCAGAATAGAGTTGACAGGCTTCTTGGGCCCGAGAAGCGGGCTCTTGGCGCCGCCCGTCTTGTCTGTCTCGGCGGGCTTGGCGGCGCGCTTCTTCCCGACACCACTCGGGCTCTTCTCCGCCTCTTGAGGCTTGCGCTTCTTGCCCGTCGCAGGGCTCTTGTCGGCTTCGGTGGCCGCTTTGGGGCCGCGCTTCTTGGCCGGCGTCGGCTGCTGCGTATGCATGAGCGCCTGCCGATCGTGGAGCAGCTGGGCTAACTCGGTTGCTGGCAGCTTTTGCCCGAGCTCCGCGTCGTCAAATGTAATGAACGAAATGTACCCGTCGAGCGACGAGAGGCAGAGCATTTGACCGTTCTGCGACCAGCTCATGTCGGTGAGGTCGGCGTAGTGCAGCCGGTCAATGACCGCGATCGGGTGCAGGAGCTAATGCAATCTCGTGAGCAACCGCGCTTCAAGGTGCAGGAAGCACGTACTTGGGAGTCATAAATAGCGACGGCGTCGAGCGTCGCGACGGCAAACACAAAGCGGTACGGGAGACGGAAGAGGTTCTCAGTGACACTCGTCGTCAGCGCATACAGGATCGGACTGCAACGGACGCTAAGCGCGCCCTTGGCGTGGCCCGGCAGATGGAACGCAGGCTGCAGCAGGTTGCCGCGGGCGTACGCGTACACCGTGTGGGTCGCATCGACCGTCGTCGACGTCGGCTTGAAGAGACCTGCGATGCGTGAATGAGCCTCCATTTAGAAGGCAGAAGATAGTTTACCTGTGGGCACCAAGCAGTAGCTCCCATCCGGGGTCCACGTGAGCCGGCGCGAGAAGGCCGGGAAGGTGTCGTCGTGAAACATGGCATGTTTCGGCGTCTTCTCGCCTTCGATCGCTTCGGCCTCGAGCTCGCGCGCGCGGAGCGTATGGAGCATCTGGACCTTCTTCTTCTTCTTGGCCTCGACGCCGTACCCGCTCAATGCGTAGACGCGACACGACCGGTCGTTGCCTTCTGTGATGAGGAACTCGCTGAGTGGGTCCCATGCGACGCCTTGCACGTACTGCGTGTGGTCCTTGCGCTTCTCGACGAGGTTGCCGCTTGCAACGTGCCAGATTGCGCACGTATTGTCAATGGAAACCGACGACAAGTACTGCGAGTCGGGCGACCACGAGAGGTCGGTGATGTCGCCCTTGTGGCCGCACGCGAGGAGGACACGCGTCACGTCGCTATTGCTCGAGATGGTCTGCCAACTCCACGACGCAGCGTCCACATGTTTCGGCCGCATCCAGAGCACAATCGTAGAGTCGTCGCTGGCCGACGCGAGGAACTCGCCGTTGGGCGAGAAGCGAACGCAGTTGACGCTGCGGTCGTGGCCCGAGAGGCCGTGGACGTACGTAAGGTGCTGCGCGTTGAAGACCCAGAGCTTGATTTCTTTGTCCGCGCCGCCCGTTGCAAAGACCTGCGACTGGAACACCGCTGGGAAGACGACGCTCGACACGTTCTCGGCCACGATCGTCGGCGCGTCACCGAGAGCTGTGGTCGGGAGCGCATCGGGCGACGTCGCCGGCGTCAGCGTGGCCGCCTTGCGCAAGAAGTCGATCGTGAGCACGGCCTCGTTGAGCCCCGTCGGGCCGCAGTGCCATCGGATCTCGGGGGTGTCCACCTTCATCTCGGCGTGACCTCGTCCGTCCCCAGCGGGCTGTTGGCTCGATCGGCAATGATTGGCCGCTGAAAATGGAGGGAAACTCTATCCGACGAGCAGCGACAAGAAGCGCACCGGAATCGGCATTTACGCACCGACACACAAGCGATCTTCCGCGTCAACGCACCTCGCTCTGAGCTCCGAGGAGACGACGACATTGGCAACGAGCTATATCGTATATGCAAATAGACCGCGTCGTAAGCATGGGCTTTATTTTGAAGGAAGAGTACGAGCTCGGTGTACAGTGAGGTCAAGCAGCTTGTTCTCAGCCGCGTTGCTATATTGTACTCATATTTCTTAGTCTCTTAGTCTTTGTCTCTTAGTGGCGGATCGGACGCATAGCTCTTAACGCATATTGCTTGGTGTGGGTACGACAGCATTGCTGTCGCCCTGGCTGTCGCCTAAAGTACCCGTCCTGAAGAGGCTTCTCGGTCGGGTGCGCCTTTGGCACCGACGCTTCGGCCGACCGGATACTCTTGTAGTATCCGGACGTGTCGACAAGGCGTGAAACGGTTTGGCTATGCGCACGCAACTCGAGTCCCGGACGATGCACATGGCAAGCAGTTGGGCCTCGCTTCCTTTGCGTCTCGCTCGGTCAATGTGGTATTTGCTCATGATTTCATTCATGTGCTGCGGAAGAAATGGCCATCGAATCTATCGGCTGCATTTGAAAATGACTCGGTTAACGTACCGCTGCGTGCATTTAGTCAGGATCTAAACGGCGCCAAAATGGGCAATCGATTCAGTTGGCGCCGCAAGAAGAAGGTCAAGGTCGAAGCGCCTGCGCCAACGGACGTCCCCGCAGAGCCTGAGGTCCCGCCGCCAGAAGTTGTGCTTCCGGAAGACGATGGCTCGTCGTTCTGGTCGTCGGCCTTTGGTTTCAAATCTGGTGAGGCCAAAGCTGCGATCCCGCCTCTCGACGTGTCAAATGTGCGGCGAGGCAACCCGAACGAAGTCTCGACCGACGAATTACACGACGTCCTTCAAGTGAGCTTGGAGCTCGAGCAGCGACTCTTGGCGCAGGACGCGTGCGAGAACAAGGCGCACGTGCACTTCAACCTGGGCTTGACGTACATGGCTCTAGCGCGGCGCACCAACGCATGGTACTTGCCAGCATCACAGAGGGTGAAGCACGGACGGTGGCACATTTGTGTAGCGAGCAGTTTCGATGCGCGGTGGTCGAGGACCCGACGTACGGCCGGGCTTACACGCATCTCGCCCACACGCTCTTGCAGGATGGTGCTCCATCTGCTGCGACGCTTGAAGCTGTCGTCAACTACCTCGAGCTCGCGATCGTCCACGACAATACCGAGGTGCGCGAGAACCAGGTAGGCGAATGACTTTAGTATTGCGTTCGTCGACGGCCTGCAGATCCTGCTCGCCGAAGTGCACCACCTCCAAGGCGACTTCGCCAATGCACTGCGCGTGTACAGCACGATTGTACGTTCATGTGCACGCCTTGATCGCAGTGAGCTAACGATGCATCTATGCGATAGGATCGCATTGACGACGAGTGGCAGAACACGTTGCATCGCGCTGCCTGCCACTGGGCGTCCCGCGAATTCGCAGAGAGCATGGCGCTGCTGACCACGCTCGCCTCGTGTGCCTATACGACGGGCGATGTTCCGAACAAGCGGGTTGTGCTGGCCGACGTCCATGGCTTGCTCCTGCGCCCATCGATCGTCGCGGCCAGCTAAAGATCGACGATGGGCTAAAGTCCAGTGATGTCGAACGGTGCGATTTAAAAAAGAAACTAGCTTTTGTATGCGTGGTCTGAGTCGAGGAAATAAAAATTCGGTCAGAATTTCACAAAGCGTCACGCAGCCCGGTCGCCGATGGTCCACGCGTCTGTCTTCGCCGAGCCGCCGCTGGGCGTGCGACGAACCGCTGACGCAGCAGCACCTGCTGGCGCCAAGCGGCCGGACGACGCCGCAGCGCCTGGGCAGCTCTGGGTCGAGCACGTGCACTTTCCGACGATCAAGAAAACGACCAGCACGCCCGAGTCCTTTCGGGGCATGAAGCGGCAGACGTCGTCGCGCGTGCTCCAAGAGCTGCGCAGTGCCAACCGCGTCGTGCAGGACCAGCTCGATGACTTTCGGCGGAAGCTCCTCGAGCTCGACCAATGGATCGCGCACGGAGTCACCGAGACTGTGCTCGAGACGCCGTCCGCTGTGCACGCAAAACGAAAGACAAAGCGCTCGCACAAGCGATCACATCATGCCGGCCACGTCACGAGCGAGCCTATTGTATCTGCGCCGGCGCTTGCAGCGACAGCCGCGGTGGCAGCAATACCCTGCAAGCAGCCACGGACCGAAGGCGATGGCGTAATACCACCGCCGCCGAGCGATCCAAACCTCGGCGACACGCAAGCAGCACCAGGTAGCATGCTCTTTCGCCTTATCTTGACGAACCGAGTGTGTAGACGATGCGCCATGTACGACCACGGGCTGCTGGCAGTTCCTCCACGACTTTGGTTTTTTCAAACACCTCTCGTCGCTCGAGGTCGACCGCGCCCTCGAAATTGAGCATCGTACGTCGGTCGTCTTCTCCGCACCGTGGACACATGTCGATGGTGTAGCAAGGGTATCCAGTCCCTTGGAGCCCGCGACAGACTCGGACGACGGCTCGACATCCTCGTTGGCGTCGTCCGACCGTCCCGTGCTCCTCGACAAGCTGTCGCCGCCAACCGACTGTCTCACGAGCGTACGCAACCTCGCATCGAGAGCACATGACTGACCAAGGTGTGTAGCGACTTCTCGGTGCCCTAGTGGAAGAAGGCGAGCACGACGAGGCGTCGGACGTCGACTGCAAACCACTCGAGACGCCAGCCAGCTTCCACGTCGATGTGGACGAGGCCAACGTCTTCTTGCGCAAGGAGCTCGAGGCCATTGGGGTCTTGGACGCTGACGACGATGCGGCGGTCGCCCGAGACGACGACGAGGTGAGCGTTGAGCTCCGCAAGTGCGAGCAGGAGCTTGCGCGCCACCTCCTTGCCACCAACCAGCGCAAGAGCGCCCTTTACCGCGTGCTCCAAGCAAGGTACGATACAAACATGGCTGGTCGCCTCAGCAACATGCGTAGGGCCGAGACCAACACGTCGGCCGAGGACCACGCGACGCTCAAACAGTACCACAAGCTCCAGCGCAAGCGGCAGGTAGTCGTCGTCATTGTCATGGCGCGAGCGACAAGCAATGGTGTAGGACGCCAAGCGAAAACGCAAGCAGTCGGGCAAGAAGCACCACAAGCAGCAGAAGCGCCAGGTCTAGTTAATAAAATGGACGTTCTTTATACACGCCTCTTACTGGCCGAGCGGCGGAAAGTCGTCGGTGCACGTGAGGTTGGGCTTCTCGAGAGTCCGCTGCATCGGTCGCGGCGCAAAGCCCGAGTAGCTCCGCGGCGGCGGTTGCTGGTAGTAGCTGTTCGGCGGTGGGGGCGGCCGGTACGCACTCGCATCGCCTCGACTGTACTCGTTGGTCGGGTCCAGAACCGGCCGCGGCGCATAGTACCCGACCGGCGACGGCTGGTGCTGGTGGTACGTCGGCGGCGCTCGGTACGGCGTTCGGTGCCGCGTAAAGTCCGGATCGTTGAGTTCTTGCTCGCGGTTGCGCCACGTCACTTTGCTCTCTTTCCAGTTTTGCGGCCGCGGCTTCTCGGGCTGCTTGGCGGCTTTGGTCGGCGCTGCTTTGGCCGGCGCGTCGGCCGTCTCGCCAAAGATGCGCGCGCGAGCTTCGGCATACGCCTTTTCGCGGTCTTCGAGGTTCCGCGACCGTGCGTCGGCGCCCGGCGTCTTGGCGTGCTTCTTCTGTTTGTCATTGTTGGTCTTGCGCGTCATGATCTTGGGCGCGATCGTGTGGTGGTGCGGCGGCTGCGGCTGGTTCTGCTCGGCCGAGAGGTCGATAAAGAGGACGGGCGGCACGGCGCAGCGCGGTGTCCGAAAGAGCGTGACAACCCGCGCCGCGCTCCCAGCGTCAAAGCCGCCAGCGTACGGGTTGTAATCTCCTGTTTCGTGCTCGAGAAAGCAACGGTCGGCGAGTCGATGCACGATCAGCCGGTGGTACGATGAGAGCGGCGGAAACACGAGTTGCATCTCCCTAGAAGCACCCCAATATGTGAGCGCGACCAGAAGGGGCATGAGGGCATACCGGCCGGCGCGGATGAAGCTGACGATCTGATCTTCAAACTTGAGTAGCGTCAAGCGCTCGCGAGGGTTCTCGAGCGCACCGACCAAGACAGGGTCGAGTGGGCCAGAAGATGACGCAGCAGAGACGGCCGCGGCGCCACCGCGGCTCACAGGGCTCGACAGCGTCGCCGTCGTGGCGCCATCGTTGGACGGCGGGTCGTTTTTGGGCACGTGGATCTGCATGCTCGAGAGCTTCTTGGCTACCTCTTCCTCAGCCACGTGCTCCCAGCTATCGTCGGCGCGAGCCATGCTCGTCGGCGGCTGCTCGCGGTGCTCTGCCATCGATCGCTCCTGCCTCAGCCGGAGGATTTGTTGCTAGAGTGGATGCGCGCATACAAATCTCAAGCTTGTTTTCGGCCCGTGTATTAAATTCGTATAATTTCGGACCGACCAATCACGATTGGCCAGTCCGGATAACCTCGCCGATCGCACAGCGAGCAGCCACCTCGAAGCGGAGGGCAGCGGCCAGTATGGTGGCGACTAGCAACAAGCTCTAGACTGCGGCTGCGAGCACGTCGGTCTTGGGCGCCACAGAGCTGCACAGCCAAGACTAGACATCTCATGGCTCGTTGACTGAGGTGCGAGATGTGCGCCTGTGCCAGCGCTTTCGGATGATGTCTCTTCGGGGCAGAACTCTGGTATGTAGAGTATTGGTGTTGCTACATGCTTGGGCTGCGATGGGACGGCGCCGGCAGTTGCTCCATGGACATTCGCGATTGGTCCGCGATCGATCGTCTACCTCGTAAGAAGCCTCTATAAATGTGCTTGCGCGTCAATGGCTTTGACGCAGTATGCTCTTCTCGGTGCTCATAACGTTGCATATGAACGAACCTCCTTCTGTCTCGTCGTCGCTGTCGTGGCACGCTGTGGACGCTCGCCGTCTTTCCACCAATCAGCACAGGGGTTTGGTCTGAAATTAGTGTATGTCGATTCTCTGATTGGTTATTGGATGCTGCAGATTGGTTGGTCTAACCAAAAGCCGAGTGTTCATCGATCTTAGCAGCATGAGCGACAGCGAGGTGGTTGACGAGCGCCGGGCGCCCAAGCGCCTTGGCCAGGACATGAAGCCGACGAACGTCAAGAAGCCCAAGACGAAGAACGTCGGCAAGTACCTGCGCCCTGCGCCGGAAGGCCGCGTCATCCACGTACGCCCCATTTTCTGTCGCTATGATTCTGGACCCAAGCTCATGTATGGTCATGGCCTACAGAACACGTCCGATAAGAAGCTCAAGTCGGAGCTAAAGCGCAGCGACAAGAAGTTCTCGGAAGCGGCGTTGCAGGCGGCGAAGGCCGAGATCCTCCTGCCCGAAGAATCGGGGTACACACAAGCATGATGACTTCAACCCCAATGCTCATGCAAAACGCGTAGGATCATGGTCGCAGAAGGCCTCGAGAAGACGCATCGATTCACGCAGGCGCAGCTCGCAGACCATGTCGACATCAACACGGCCAACAAGATCTTCGACTTGAACCTCGACACGTTTGGGCCTTACAAGATCGACTACACGCGGAACGGCCGTAACTTGATCCTCGGCGGCGCCAAGGGCCACATTGCCGTGTTTGACGCGCTGCGCATGAACCTCGGCTGCGAGTTCCACGTCAAGGAGTCGGTCCGCGACGTCAAGTTCCTCCACAACAACTCGCTCTTTGCTGTCGCGCAAAAGAAGTACGCGTACATTTACGACCACACGGGCGCCGAGGCGCACTGCCTCCGCACCATGAGCGACCCGAAGGCGCTCGAGTTCCTTCCGTACCACTTCCTCCTCGCGTGCGTGGGCGGCGGCGGCATCCTCTCGTACAACGACGTGACGACGGGGACGCAAATCGCCAACCACAAGACGAAGCTCGGCATGTGCGACGTCATGGTCCAGGTGCGTCCGGCTCGCCATCTCCCAGCGTTGCGACCGTCTTGCGTAGAACAAGCACAACGCCGTCATCAACCTCGGTCACGCGAGCGGCATCGTGACGCTTTGGACGCCCAACCTCAACGAAGCGGTCGTCAAGATCAAGTGCCACGACGGCCCGGGTACGACGATTTGACTTTGCGCGACGACTCATGCTGACATGCGCCTAGTCCGCGCTCTCGCGGTGGACCGCAGCGGCAAGTACCTCGTGAGCACGGGCAGCGACCACAAGATGCGCGTGTTTGACCTCCGCACGTACAAGCAGCTGCACCAGTACTACCTCCGCGGCATCGCCGAGACGATCGATGTCAGCGACCGCGGCATGGTGGCCGTGGGCTATGGCCCGAACGTCGAGGTGTGGCACAACGCGCTGACGACCAAGGCGCAGGCGCCGTACATGACGCACCGCATGCCGGCACGCCAGGCGACGAGCCTCCGCTTCCGGCCGTACGAAGATGTGCTGTCGATTGGCCACTCCAAGGGGCTTGCCAACATTATCGTGCCGGGCGCCGGTGAGCCCAACTTTGACTCGTTCGAAGCCAACCCGTTCGAGAGCACCAAGCAGCGCCGCGAGACCGAGATCAAGTCGCTCCTCGAGAAGCTCCGCCCTGAGATGATCACGCTCAACCCGATGGCGATCGGCCGCATCGACGCCAACGCCAACGACGAACATACGTCAAAGATGGAGACCATGTACAAGGCCAACAACGAGGAGGCCGCGGGCAAGCCCAAGAAGAAGATGCGCGGCAAGAACCGCCCGTCGCGCAAGCTCCGCAAGAAGCAGCAAAACGTCGTCGACATTGAAAAGCAGAAGTACCGCGACGCGCTCGAGACGAAGGCCAAGGACGAAGCCAAGGCCAACGCGGACAAGCAGTGGAAGGACAAGGTCGAGAGCGCGCCGACGGCGCTCAACCGCTTCTACAAGAAACCATAATCTATGTACTACACCACCTTCGCACCTTGCACGCCAGCGTTCCCGAGACAGGAGGCGACCTGCCACATCCGCAACGCGCCTTGGCTGCGGAATCCTTATCCTTGTACCTCGAGCCCTAGAACAGGTGCGCGCCATGCTAGACCCTAGGAGAAGCCCACCACGGAAGCGAGCACGGGCGAGTCGTCGGCGAACGGCCATGGCGGCGTCGATACGCCAGCCTGCTGCGGGCTGCGGCGCCTGGCTGCGTGAGATCGAGGCAACCGTATCCGGAATTTCCGGAAAAGTCGAAAATATGGGATGCAAGCGCATTGGTGTTGTTCTTCCCGAGGGTCCTCGTCGCCACGAACCATCGGGCGACGGAAGCATGGCGGAGAGAGCAGATGGAGGTACGAAGACGCCAAGACGTCGTCCGTGAGGATGGCAATGCGTTCGACCTCGCGTTCGCCGGCCATGGGCCTCCAGGCCTCGCCAACGCGTCGATGCTCATGCGCTTCCGTGGATAGACCTCGTCGCGGGCAAGAAGCGACGGGCACAGGACGCCGATAAGGGCGCAGGACCGTGGCCGCCGACCGCTGTGAGCGCTGGGCCGGCGTTCGTGCCGAAAGTGCGGCTCGGCAAGCGGTACCAAGCGACGATTCCGCCGCTGCAGTCGGCGAGCGACGGCGCCGCGACGACCGCGCGGGCTCGGAGAGCCGACGACGACGACGACGAGAACGACGACGGCGACATCGAGATGGACCCGAGCTCGGTGAGCGCGAGCCCGAGCATCCCCCACCAGGTGTATTCGATGGCTGCGCTCAAAGGTACCACTCTTCTATCCGACCGACGCGCTGAGCGTGACGACAGGCGACAAGCACGTCGACAAGTACATCAAGTTTGCGACCTCGCTTTGCAACGGGTACATGCATGGCACGGTGCACGCGACGACCGCAAACGCGCTCTCGTACCTGCACCGCCACGGCAACGACCCGGTCTCGGCCGCCTGCCACCTCTACGCCGCCCACGGCTTTGCCATGCTGCCCGAGCCGCGCGCGACGGACGACGCAAACGCGAAAAAGTCGCAAAAGGCCAAGATCCAAGAGTGGATGGTCCGCGCGCTCACGGTCATTGGCCACGACGTCATCGACGACACAAGCGTGCGCGAGATGCAGGAGCTCGTCCGGTCGTGCCCGCCGTCCGAAGCCGAAAGCAAGGAGCTGTACGTTCTCAAGGCGACGCTCCAGCGCGTCGACGACTGGCAGCAAGCGTGCGTGGATCTCGGCGGGCGCAAGTGCACGGTGGCCGACATCCAAGCGTTGCTGTACACGGCCAAGGACCTCCGCTGCGTCTTGTCGGAGCGCGACGTGCTCAGCGCGCGTGTCGCTGCGTTCGAAGACGCCAAGAGCAGCCTCTTTAAAACAATGTACGACCGTCCGAAAGGTCGCAAGATGGTCAAGATCGATCTGCGCACGGTACCGCTTGTATCTACCCCGTGCATAAGATCTGACCGCACATATATCGGTAGCTCAAGGAGCTCCTTGGTCATGTACAGCAGTACGCGATCCACTTTGGCCAAGAAGACACCCTCGAGCGCATCATCTCGGACGCCGAGGATCTGGAGGCGCAGATCTCGTCGCTTTTGGCGATGGAGAAGGTGAGCGTGCCGGCCATCCGGGACATTCTCGCTCGTGTCGAGGGGGTCCCCGTCGACCTGCAGAGCATCGTCGAGCCGCTGAAATCCAAGATGGTGTCGGCGCAAAAGTGGCTCGAGCGCGCGCGCAAGTGCATTCCGCCGACAAAGCGGCAGTCGTCGCGCAACATGCAAGAGGCCGGTCGGTCCAAGATGGACCTTTCGACGGTCCACGACCTCGTTAAGAACGCGCCGATTGACGACCAGTCGTCCGAGATGCAGGAGATGGAGGACCTCCTCGCGTACGCCGACGAGTGGTCGTCCCGCGTACAGAGTGCGATTGCCGACGCAAACGTCGCCACCATCTCGGTGGACGCGCTTCGCGAACTCTTGGACGAAGGCCATGACATGCCTGTCGTCATGGAGCAGACGTCCCACCTCGCTGCCATCATCGAAGGCCGCGAGTGGGTCGACGAAGCCACACAAGCGTTGGCCGAGAAGAGCTCGCTCGACCGCCTCCGCCACATCATCAAAGACGTATGCTTCTCATGCTTGGGTCCTCTGGACTCATCCGCATTCTGTAGGCACAAAAGCTACGGAAGCGCATGCACCCCACGAGCCGCGAGCTCTGGAAGCCGAGCGTCGAAGCCGAGATGCTAGTGTGCATCGAGCAAGCGGATGCTTGGCTCTCGGAATTGCACGAGCTCCTAGGATCCGCGACGTGTGCGCGCCTCTTTGCTGGCGAGTCGAGTCGGGTCAAGGGACCAAAGCACACAGTGGCCACCAAACCGTCGGTCGCTGCTGTCCAAGCCAAGCTCAGCGAAGCCACCTCGTTGCGCGTCGACGTCAGCGCGTACATTGAGCCGCTCGAAGGCCTTCTCGGAAAATGTGCCGAGCTCGAAGCGCTCTGTGCAGCGAGCCTCGACACCACGGACGGCGACCAGGCGTTCCAAAAAGCCTTGGCGGCGCTCGAGGCTTTGGACGCCTTTGCGTGCTACGTCGCCAAGACGGACGACCTGCGCGCTGCCGTCGTCACGTCACGGGATTGGCTCACGCGCGTGCGCGCCATCTGCAATGCCAAGCAAGTGTCGGGCCGGCGCCTCACGAAGCGCAGCAGCACCTCTGGCAACGACCACGGCGTCAGCGCCGACGTGCTCATGGCGCTCCAAGCGCAGTGCGACTCGCTCGTGTACCGTTTCCCTGACGACGAAGCCGCCCTCGCCGCCGAGATGGCCGCGTCAGTGACGTGGCAAGCGCGCGTGCAAGATTGGTTTACCGACAGCGTCCCGTCGCTGCTCGCCGCGTGCGATACGTTGCGCTCGATGGACACGCAGTACGTGGCGGCTCGGCGTGCGTCGTGGGACCGTCTGCAGCTACGCATTGCGGCCGCACCGTCGTCGCCGCTCCAAGCTGCTGTGAGCAACGCTGCCGAAATGACGGAAGAGAACCAGGACATGGAGGACAAGGTCGACGTCCGCTGTGACGCGACGCCGGTGCCCATGATTGCGCACACCACGGAGCTGCCGTCGCTCGACTCGTCGATCGTGGTCGACATTGTGCGCATTCTCTCGGGCACGCGTCAGAAAGAGTCGAGTGACGCGGCGACGTCAACGGTCGACTGGCGTCCAATTGCAGACGCGATCGAGACGGGCCTCGGGTACATTGCAGCCCTCGAGACGCGGGTCAAGGACGACGAGCCCGAAGTTGAGACGAGCGACGCTGAGAAGGATGCCGTCCACATCGTCGAAGCGGCGGCCGCGCGTGCACTCGAGCTCCTCGGGCAGTCGAATGCGAGCATTGCGACGACCGAGGCGTCCATGCTGCAGGCTCTGGTCAAGGCGCTCGACTGGTTCAGCGATGCCCGCGCCGTTATCCAAGGCGAGAACGTGCACACGCTGACCAAGATCGTCGAGACTGGTAGTGCGCTCATGGCCTCGAGCTCGCTCCCGTCGTCGCACTTGTGGAATGCAAGCCTCTTTTGGCCGCTGCCGCTGCTCGAAACGCAGCGCACCGACACGCAAGCGTGGATCACATCGCTCGAGTCGCGACTCAACAGCAACGCATTCCCGCTCCAGGACGTCGAGACAGCGATCGCGCAGGCGGACGCGCTTCAGGCGGACGACCGCGTGCTCTGGGTCGAGCTCAAGAAGACAAAAATGTGGCTGCTCAAAGCGAAAAAGACCCTCAAACCACGGATCTCGACCAGTACACGCATGCCGCTCCATGCTGCGTCGGCACTCGTCGAAGACGGGTCCAAGCTCAAGGTGATTGCGACCGCGTGGAGGCATTTGCACACGCACGTCGTACAAGCGTCGGCGTGGGAAGAGCGACTCAAGGCGTCCGGGCTGGATGCTGGGCACGCCAAGGTCGCCGTCCTCGTCGACCTTCTCCACGAGTACACGACTGGTCGGTTCCTCGTCGACTTTGACATGCACCGCGACGTACTCGTGTCGGCGACGGAGCAGTACTGTATCTGCCGACAGCCGTACGACGGCCTCATGATCGGCTGCGACCTCTGCGACGACTGGTTCCACGATACGTGCATTGGCCTCTCGAAAGAAAAGGCCGAGAAGGTCGAGGACTATGTGTGTCCGTCCTGCGGCCTTCTTCAAGAGCTCAAGCACCTCCTCGACGGGATCGACGGCTCCACCAAGCAGCTGTTTGAGCTTGAGGACAAGGCCCATGAGAAGGCATTTAGCGTCGCGATGCGCAAGGTCAAGAAGGAAGAGCGCGATGTCGACAAGGCGCATGTCGCTGTCATGGAGCTTCAGGCCCAAGTGACGGCGATTGGCCAGCACGTCCAGTACCTTGAGAAGATGCACGAAGAGACTCCGCCCAAGTACCTTCCATCGATCGCGCTGCCGTTTCCGCAGCACCCGTCGCCGACCGGGATGCAGCCCCTGTACAAGGCGTCGTCGTATGCGGCGCCCATGCTCCGGAGTCCGTACCATAACCACGCGTCCGGGTCGTCCATGAGCAGTCTTCCGCCGCTGCAGCCGCTTCCGAGCATCATGGCCAAGACGAACGGCCTCCCGCCACTGCTTGTAGACCACCACAGCAGCATGTACCACCACCACAGCCACCATCCGCCGCACCACCACCCGCCGCACCACCCGCCGCCGCCGCACCACGCACCGATCCAGTCCAAGCCCATGGACGCGGCGCCGAGCGCTTCGGGTACGACGCCGCAAGAAATCGAGCTCACGCGCTTCAAGATGGAGCACTACAAACTCAAGCAGCTGGCGGCCGAAGCCGAAGTGACCCTCGAGAAGGGCAAGGAGCGCGCGGTCGCCGCTCGTGGCGGCATTGAGACGCTCATCTCGAACCGCGACGTGCTCTTGCCGCAGGCGCAGGCGTGGTGGCGCATGGCTTGTGCGCACCTCGCGTCGCTCGTCACCGAGAAGGAGGCGTTTGACCTCAAGCAGCTGCGCGTCGTGGCTTCCATGTGCGAACCGTACAAGGCGACGTTCACCTCGGTGGCGCTCATGCAAAAGGTGCTCGTGACGATTCCGTGGACGGTGGAGGCCGTCTCGCTGCTGCACGGCCACCCCAAGCCGGCGTACGAAGGTCTCGACCGCGTGCTCAGCGAGAGCTCGCACGATCCCAAGGCGCTCTCTGCCCTCCGCGGCGTCCTCACGCGCATGGACGCGTGGGTCTCCAAGACCAAGAAGATCGTGGCCAAGCTCGTCAATACGGGCAAAAAGCTCGAGAACGCCAAGATCCAAGTCGTCCTCAACGAGTACATGAAGCTGCCGCTCACGTGTCCGTGGGGCGCGCGGCTGCAGTCGTTCATGGCCGACGTGGCCGAGTGGGAGGCGTCGGGCGCGACGCCTGTGCTCATGCCGACGCTCTCGATCACGCCGCCGAGCTCCCCGGTTGCGACGGCGCCGAAACGCAAGGCTAAGCCCAGCAGTGGGTCCAATCCCAAGCGCGTCAAGTGCGAAGACGACGTCTCGAAGCGGTCCAAGGCCAAGGCCGCCAAGGCCAAAAAGGCTGAGAGCGCCAAGTGCGGCGACGACGATGCACATATGAGCGACGTAGCCGAAGCGCCGCCTCCGCCACCGAGCGCGCCGTAACCATCTGCGTGTACCGACGACGCGGTCGTGGAAGTGCTCCAAATAATCAAACCTCCGTGTCACCACCACTTGCACTATCAGTGCATGTATAGTAGACCTCATGACCACAGAGTGAGGACCGCGTAATGGAAGCTCATCACTGCAGTCGCAGCCTAGATTGCAGTCGGTCAATCCCTGCCAGAGCTGGCCGATGGTACCTCTTGGGGTTCGCGTTTGGCACCGGGCTTGGCGTCGGCCACTCGCTTCTTGCCGCTCCTGGTCGTATGGCTTGATCGTCTGCTAACGTTAGTGGGGCTCTACATCCCGCCATCACTTGAGCTCATCGTACAGGACGAGGTCACGGACCTGCGCTGTCGCCGGCGGGGCGGTAGCACATGGAGTGCAGGCCGGCAGTTGCCTTCGGTCCCACGACGCTCTTCCCGTGCATCGGCCGCGCTTCCACCCGGTCGTTCTCCTTGTCCAGCGCGCTATCTCGT